AAACCATGTTTGTTTGTTTTTCCATGAATATTTGAAATCTGTTAAACTTGGCAGCTATTTTGTAAATGGGAAACTTTGAAAGAAAAGTCCGAAGTTATTCACACCCCTAGCCGATTCAGATTTCAAAACAGTCTTTAAGAGAATATTTTCTAAAGATATATCATATTTTTGTATGTACTCTTATCAGTAATTGATGAAAAACATCTTTGTCGCCTTATTTGACCAGCTTTGTGCAGTTTACCTCTGGTATGTTGATAATTCACGTTCTTTGAAGAGCTTCTGGACTTTGGGTTTAAAAAACCTCATTGCCATCACCCTAATCTTCAGCTCCCTTCACATATCCTCAGTCAAATTTAAGACCTGATTCTTCCTTTACTTCTACAAAATGGTTATTTCCAGTTAGAAGAAACATGCCGGTAGAAGGAAAAGATGCTCTAAACTTTACGTGTTAAACTTAATTGGATCTTAACAGTTTGCCAAGATTGTTACTGTAAATCTCAGAAAGGATCACATGGAGAAGGTTGATATAGGTGAACTGAAATCTATGCAACTCTAAATTATTCACTTTCACTGTTGTACTATATTATTTACAATTTTCTTCTTCTTTCATGCATTGTTTTCTTCTTTGTTAGCAATTAGAACATATTTAACTCTCCCAATACTTATACTAACAGCATAAATTAGGAGATTTAATTGTGTTTAATCTATGGAGATTATCACCAGAGTTTTTTTGTTTTTTGCTTCACCCTTTTCCACTGGACAACTGTTTCTTTTATTTTTTTTGACAATGAAAAATAATTCTTTCCACATTTTCATCTTGGTTCCACTAAAGGTAACAACAGCATCACAGATATAAAGGATTAGGTTTTAGGAAACAGATTGAAACAGTTTATGCTTAAAGATGAAAGGAATCGTTTATGATGGTCTTTCTGAGCAGATCTGCAGACAGCCTCCTCCTCCTCTTCTTCTTCTTCTTCTTCTTCTTCTTCTTCTACTGTACTGTAGACTCCCACATTGTTTGAATAAAACAAAAGAAAAAGACCAACATAGCCAATCCTTATGTCTTTAGATTTTACAACCAATGAAAAGCTGCGTTGACAGCTTAACAGTTGCTCTGGGTTTTGTGGTGGGGGGGACCATTGCAAAGTCTTTCAGCTGGATTTTTAAGTGCAGGTGGCGCTCAGTAAAAACATATCAGAGAAGAAAGGTGGAAAGTTTATTACAGAAAGATGTCATGGCGCAGTGATATGGTTCGGAGGAGATGGTCGACAATGGGGGAGGGGGCAAAGAAGGAGAGCAGAGTTACAGCAGCGGCTGCTGTTGTAAATAAAGCCACTGCTGGAGAGGGGCTTGGTTTATAAGGTCATTTAAAGGAGTAATGTGGCGCACTGTCTGGAATTGGCTTTCATTAAAAGAGCCATCGAGAGCGACAGGAAGTGGGAGAGAGCAAGGATCTGTGTGTGTCTGCGGTTAGGCAGCACTTCCATCACACACACAAACACTCATGCACACTTTTCTTTGTATCCTCTTGCAGTTTGTGATTCCCAAGCTCCCAGTATTTTATATCCCCACTGGGAAAAGCAACAATGATGGGTCCGCCCGCCACATTAACAACTTTGTGGCACCACCACTAAATAGTGCACCGAGTCTTTGCCATTATGAGCTCAGGAACAATTGGGAAAGAGACCATCACTATTACAACACAGGGCAGTGATAAGACCCATCACATTGCCATGATTTATGTAAACCATTGTCCGTAATAACAGGCCGAATGATTTATGGAATGGGAAGTAGGAATGCTATGGGACCCCGGTGATATTGGGAACATACGTTCTTTCCCTGTCTCTGTGTTTTTTCTATTTTTTGAAATCATAAAGTTAATGAAAGGGATCCCATGGGATCTCGCTCTCAGCCTCATATCCATCATCTGTTGGCCTGTGCACGCTTCTTTTCCACCTCTATCCTCCCTGGGTAATCAAAGACACCCATGTACTTAATTCCGTCTTCCTTTTATCGCCCCTTTAAGATGAGATCCACACTCTGGTTCAGTTTGACAGTAATGCATAGCAAGCGTCTGCCGCCGGATTCCATCTACTCAGTAAAATGTCCTTGCCTATTCACCCTGTGTGTGTCTTCAATTACACTTTTCCTCCACTCATCTATCCCGACTGCACTTCCAGGAGATGACCTCCTCCTTCTCTCTTCCCTTCCAGGTTCCTTCGATGCTCATTTGCATCATTTCATCTATCTTTCTCTCTGGGCTCAAAGCCAGCCACAAAGCTACTGTAGCTACTATATTGACTTGAAACTCTGGGAGTATCTGCTTGTTTCTGCTACATAATGAATAAATGTGATGCTCCTAGAGGGATGATGATGGTGGAAAATCAGAGAGTATGGAGGGAAAAGAAGGGCTGGATCCAATAAGACTGAAAAAGATGGCTTGTTTTCTGTCTCTGTGCTTAGAAGAGATATTCTTCAAGCCTTTATTTGGTTAAGAAACTTGGTCACAAAAATCAGTACAGCACATCAGTATTTTTTATGGTTATTCCTTCTGTGAAAGATCTGTAGAAAATGTAATAATAAATCAAACATTTTTTGTTGTTAAAGAAGGCCGGATCACTCGCTTTGTCAGTTCTTATCCTCCTTTCATTTATCCGTCTGAATCAAAGGTCTCTGATCAAATATCTAAAAGGCAAAGGCAGAAACAAAAGCTTTATCTGCTAAATGAACACATGTAAACAAAGAATTCTTTCCATCATTTTGGCCTGAAGTTTATTGAATCCTCAACCATGGTCCTTAATATTTTAGGTGAGCCTTATATAGTTGAAAAATGGCTAATCTTTTGGAAAGTAAGCTTGTATGAACGATGCAAGGAGCAGCTTTTAAACAGAGCGTGCATGAGGAGAAATGGGCTTGTGCATGCTCTCACATGCGTTTAATAGTCGTTCCCTCTCGGGAGCGGGGACAGGGTTGTGCTTTTTTTTTTTAAAGTGGAGAGGGCGGGTCTTCACAAAAAATTGCGAAAATCTTCCACAATACCTTTAATTAAGAGTAGCACTACTTCATCATATTTTTACTGAAGTCAAAGTAAAAAGTGACCTTTAAAGAAAAGACTCAAGAGTAAAAAAGTATTTGGTAGAAAGGTTACTCAAGTACAGATCTACTTACTAACCGCCATCATAACAACTGATTTAATGTTTAACAAAATGATGCAGAATTTAACAAAATATTGAATGATTTACAAACTCTGGTGGTTCAAAGATTAAAATAAAAAAATAAACATTTAGGATCCGGTAATTACACAATAACATTTTTAGGTGGGGTGAACACTTCAAAATGCATTTTCTGAGTGACAAAAGTAACAGTTTGTTAAAGTAGGTTTCATTACAGTATACTGTTTACTGTATTTTTACTGACTCAGGACTCAATAAATGGAAAATAACATGTAACCAATACAATAATAAATAAACTTTTTTTTATTACATTACTCACAATGTATGGAGTAGCCAGAAATTTTACTCAAGTAAGAGCAGCGATATGTTATCATATTTTTACTTAAAGTAAAAATTACAGTGCTGCAAAACTACTAAAATTTTTTTTCAAAATGTTACTGAATTAAATGTAACTGAGTAAATCTAACTAGTTTCAGCCCAGTTATATATAAACCAAAAAACAATTATTGGAATATATCAGCCTGCATGTAAAATCTAAGATCTAAACGAGCCAGTTATTCTCCTAGAGGTTAACCATTGTTTTCTGTTTAAGTAAAACACTTGATTAAGACCTTACTGACAATCCACACTGATATTGATATCAGATCATTATCAGTATTAGTCAATAATCAAAGCTGTGATATCAGCATGGTATCGGAATTGGAAAAATTGCATCAAGGCGCCCCGAGCAGAGACATATCTAAATCATACAGGACCAGGGTTAGTTTTGTCCACAAACCTCATTATAAACGCGAGGAATGTAGTGCATTGTTTAAACGAAGGTCCTTTTGTTGTGATGATGGTGTTTTTAATGGTCCAATAAGTTCTCAGGCACACATCTGGCCCCAAAAGGTCTGTCTGCTTTTAATTTAACCTGTAATCAGCCTGTTTGTTTGGTTCCAATCTACAGCCCTGCTGCTTAGACCTTCAGGTTACAATCTCAACCTTGGTGCACTCAGACAGGGAAGAAAAAGAGCCTTTAAATATCTGGTTTCAACAGTCTGTGCACTTTGACATGATGAGATGTGAATCAGGCGGCTTCTCAGATTTGGGTTCTTCGGTGAAGAAAAGTTAAATGCAGCGTTGACACTTGCAGCACATATGTGCGTTCCAACACCCATGCCCACTTTGTTGCAGAGCAACTCTGCGAACATATGCCAGCAATCTGTCCGTCACACTTTGAAACACACTCCTGCGAATATCTTGAAATACACCCGCACACTGTAAGGCCCAGTGGGGCAATGTTGTGAACCATCTGTCATCAGCTTTAACTGAAGTGGAGGGGCTAAACTCGCACACTTGATCTTGTTTCGTAGGTAACATCTGTAGCCTATCATCAGTTCGGTGCATCCAGGGTGATACGCACATGCTGACACACACACCTTCCTGTCACATTGATGAAACAATGCCCTGCTCAACAGGCTCTGCAGACCAGAGGATCTCCTTTCTCATAAGCGTCTTTCTCCTCTGCCTCCTGTTGCTGTTCCGAGGTCAGCCGTCAATCAGGCGCTGTCGCCACAGCCACCTGTCAGGAGTCCCAGCATGCTTTGCAAGTCTTCAGCCGGTGCATGCTTGACTGGAGGCTGTCACACACGGCTGAACCTGGAGTTGCTGTCCAGAACACAGACATGCACATAACAAGCACTCACAAACAAACCTCGACTCTCAGAAGAATACGTACTTCCATTTGCTTTAATGTATGATTTTTCCTGTTGTACATCGAGATAATAAACCTTTCCCTTAAAATCTTAGTTCCTGATTATATATATTTTTTTCGTTTCTATGCAGGTGGTGAGGGTTCCAGTAGAGAGCTGCGAGCAGTACACCACTTGTGGGGAGTGTTTGGGCTCCAGAGACCCTCACTGTGGCTGGTGTGTTCTCCACAACATGTAAGTTCTTTACACACATCAACACCCTGACACACAACCCTGCTACCTTTTATATTAACTGTTGGAACGTACTTAGATGTATAAATATAGAAGATACTGCCAATTTGTGGGAGATGTGAGAAATCAACACATCCTCTACAAGGCATTTTCTCTTGCATAATATATGTTAAGTTATTTGTCACTACAACTAACAACAATATTTAGTTTTACCATTTCAACCCTTAGAGGAAGCATAACATAACTGAACCCCAGTCGGCCGCTCACACGGAGACAGGTTCTGCTGGAGGTTTCTTCCTGTTAAAAGGGAGTTTTTCCTCTCCACTGTCACTACAAGCATGCTTAGTGTGAGGGGTTGCCTTCAAGTCAATGAGTTGATGCAATCAACTGGTTTTCCTTAGATAGAAAACTTTGATTCAATTTGACTTGATGATCTGGTGAACTGTAAAGTGCCTTAAGATGACATGTGTTATGAATTTGCGCTATAGAAATAAACTGAATTGAATTGAAGACATTTTCTTAATATCTCTGCAGAAATATATCCTAGAAAGGAAAAGTTCTGCCAGTGTCTGAAATCCCGGAAAATTTAGTTTTGGCAATTTCTAGCCATTTCCCCCCAGTTTTATAATACTCAAATGCAATTCCTGGAGAGATGTGAATTGTCAAGAAAATGGTGATACGGTACGATTTATCCAGATATTGACCACCTGATACATTAACAAAGATTTGCAATTTTTTCCAATGATATAACTCTGAAATATTAAGCTCTTGGGCGGTGAGCTGCCATCTAGGGTTTGGACAGACATGGGGGTTAGGACAATGACATAAATGTTTTCTATTAATATTTTTTTACATATAAGAACAATTTAGTTGTTATTTAAAATAATTTTCTAATCATCTAATAAAATATTGCAATATTTGACAGGATTGTTTTGTTTTTTTCTTACACCCCTAATTTATTGGAAGTGTAACAGGCAGAAATGATTAGAGGGGAATTATGTTCCAGCCTTAAAGGAAAGTCATGTAATCTAACCCGGAGGAAAAATGTATCCTATAGTTAGTAATAAGTAACTAGTTCTCTTTTTATAAACCACTTAAATAAGATCTAATTGGACTGCAAATCACTTTATTTAGCCTCTCGTCAGATATCAGCTTGCATTCAATAGCTGCTCACTACTACAGCCAGTCTATTACAGCCTCGTCTGTCTGACGGATACCGTCACTTATTGTTTTATGATCTTTTAATTTAAATGCTCTTTGAAGGGTTTCTTGTTCTGATTACAATAAACATACATGAACAACTTTTGCTTCAACACAAGCATTGACAGGAGGGTTGAAAAGCAAAACATTATAAGCAGCCCAAACATAAACCATTAGCTGAAGGGAATGTCTATAACATGCTTTAGTTTAAGCTGAGCTCAACCTTTTCTAACCAGCAGCAAACATTTGTGACAAAAAAATGTCAGCAGTCCCATGATTTTATCAATAGCTAGTTAACGGTACGGACCCCCGCCCCCAAAACCCCACAGGAGGTCTGCAACAGGTGGTCTACAGCTGCTTGTCACATTGTTTCTGTGAAATAAATAACGTTAGAGTTCAGGATCCATATGCTGGGACTCGTCACTATGATAAACGACTTGCAGACTTTACCCTGACTTCAAAAAAGGGTGGATGTGTGCACCTCTGAGGAGACTTGGCAGATCTCTGGAGATCACAAGAGGTGTTTACCTGAATGAGTCAGGTTTTAAAAAAAGTATTACTGTCAGTTTTTAGTCATTGATATTTAATAATTTTTTTTTTTTTATAAAATCCTATTAAATTGAACAAAACTGACAGTTTTTTGTTAACGCCCTTTTAAAGGTTCCTCTAAGAGAATAAAACCCCGTAAATCTGTCAGCTGTGTAAATCTGTTGTTGACGCAGAAATAAAATCACAGCTTGGCCTTCTCTCTGACACCTTTGTTTTCCTTTGCTGGGTTTATTTTTCCTGGTGTGAACACAGTTTAGCACACCTGCAGTGCTTCACCTTAGGTGTTATTTTGGGTTTTGAAGTTACGTCCTGTTTTGCTTCAATATTTCACTGTAAGACTGGAAATTGGACTTACTAATTGGACTTCTGCTCCTGCAGGTTTGCTAAATATAGCGTGACACATGCAATAACGCTGATAAGGTTTTGAAAAAGTATTTAGATGCACAGTTTGTTTGTCACAATGAAAGCAAAATATTCAATGTCTGCTACTGTAACAGTAAGTGGGAGGAAAATGGAAGTGATCTACATTGAACCTGTTATAATGCCCTTCTTGAAGAGTTACTCAGTATCAATGAGAGTAGATGAAAAGAGTCTCTGAACGACCAACTTCAAGACTGAATTGATTTCAGGGGCAGTCTTAGATGGGGCTTTTGTAAACATGGTCTTGCATTCCTGGTTGTATCTGTAGAATAGTTGTCTTACTCCATGGCTGATTTTATTGGTACTTTTTACAGCTTTCTGTCGTTATTCACCTCCTCTTGCCGCTGCTTTTTAAAAGGCAGAGTAGAGACGTGTGTGGTTAATAAATGAGCTTTCAACAGATAATAAGATGTGAATCTCTGCAGCTCCTCCAGAGTTTACTTCTCTTACACTGAAATTCCAAATCCTCCAAAGATAGCCTCTGCGGTTCCTCCCATCCTGATCTGCTCCAACATCCTTGGAGCTCAAAAAGAGCATGCACGATATTATTATTATATTCAAAGGAGCAAAACTTGCAGTAATAATCGTATAATTTAATATGACAAAATTAAAACCCACCATCAGCATCAATCTGCATGTTTGTACCCAAACATTTAATTTTTTTTGTGGGTCTTTGGAATAGGGATAATTAGGATCATACAAAAATGGTTTGTTCTCTACTTCCAAACTCAGCATCTCTTCATCCAGGCCTCTGTTTGTTTTGAAGTTGTGAGATGTGTTCTTGGAAGTTGTTGTGACTGGATTTGATTAAACTTTTAAGCCTCATGGTATAAAATAAATACTTTGATCGAGTTGAGAAATCTGCTTCCTGGTATATTAAAGTTCAAATAGTTTGCATCCAATAATAAAAAAAAAAACAGTCTCAGTTTTTGGGAATATATAAGAATTATGCTCTAATTTGAAGTTACCGATCCGTCGTTACCATGTTTCAATTTGACAAACTGGATCTTCTTGACGTTCTTTTGCCTGTTTGGTGGGATTGCAATTACGCATCTTGACCTGACAGGCTCGATGTACGTGGGCAGGACAGAGCGGAGCGGAACAGAGGATGTGGAATCTGGGGACTAAGAATGAGACTAATTGAACCTCTAGATTATGATCAGTGGAATCATATTAAAAGAGAATAAAAACAAATGCTCGCCAAAGTTTTAATAATTTCATTTGTTTTATGTTTTTCCTTACAGTCTTCAACAATGCATGTTTGTTTTTTGACCTAACATATACATTTTTATAAAAGATGTTCTGATTTGCTGTGTAAATGTGAAAAAAGAATGAATTGACAAAAAGTGCACGGGACTCCTTAAGGTATATTACCAGTTTCACTGTTGTTTTCTGACAGTGTTAAACACTATTTGGGTAGCCTCAAATGCTTGTCTTAAAACCATGTCTCGAGTTAATGATTAAACTTACAGCATTTATCCCCATCCTCTCTTTCCTGGAGGCGCACACAGCATCATCATCCCCGACTTTAACTAGTTACAACCTTCCTTTTCGGCTCATGTTAACCTTGTGTCTCTAAGTCAGCTTGTTCATGTTCCATAATTTGTCCAAACTTCTTACTTTGACAAAATATAAATGGGTAAAATTGTTTTGTTTTAGCTGTCTGGTGCTTCCAGCTATTTGTTAAGAGCTGCCGTGTTGACGATGTTTCCCTCACAGATGCAGGTGTTTCCAGACAATACTGCAGACTTCCTTTAAAATGTTACATGGCCACCATCGCAGGAGCAGTAAAAGGAAAAAGGGGTTCATAATGAGAAAACCTGTCCATAACTTAGCAGAGCTCTGCTATGTATGTGTGTGTGTGTGTGTGTCAGGGATTCCCAGGGGAGTGGTTGGCGACAGCGTTTTCCCCTCTGAGCGTGAGCGAAAGCTAACTAAATGAGGGAACGTCGGGAGCTGCTGTAAGGAGCAGGCAGTTAGCATTTTTTTTCTGCCTCTGTCATGTTGTTAAGGCCTTGCAGAGCGCCGCATCAGCACTTTCTTCTTACTGCTGGGACCAGTTGTTGTTAGCACATAGGTGAAGTGAATGCATCATGAATAGCTAATAGCAAGGCTGCCACAAAAACCTGAGGTCTATGCTGATTTTTAGCACGATCAGTTGGATTGTAATAAGGCAGGCGGAGGTGGAGCGCGGCTCATGTGGGGCTTGCTGGAATTGCTTTTTATCGGTCCATAGTAACGTTGGAGATTGCCCGTATGTCTCCAGAGAAGTTTGATTAAGATTGACCTCAAAAGTAAAAAGAGGTTTTTGCACCTTAGCAGTTTTTATACAGGAAATAGGATGATCGTGAAAAGCCTTATGGTGTTTGTGTTTTTTGTATTATATTTTGGCTGCATGTTTGTATTAATAACGTTTTTATTTAACAGTATTAAAATCCTCTTTGTCCTCCCCAATCCTCCCTCATTCCTCTTCATTACCTTCCATTTCCTTTGCTTCCTCTCTTCTCACCTTCCTTTCCTCACCTTGGTGCTGCTTCCCAGATGTTCTCGTAAGGACCGTTGTGAACGAGCAACCGAGCCCCAGAGGTTTGCATCTGACCAGAGAGAGTGCGTGGAGCTTACAGTTCAGCCAAGAAATATATCTGTCACCATGTCTGAAGTTCAGGTATGTATGCATTCTCCTGGCCTGTATCCCAGCTGTGTTTATGTTTTAACCATCAAGAGTTTCCCTTGGATTTTAGAACAGCACTCTGTTCTCATGAAAGGTTCATGTTAGTGAACAAGGTGGTGATTCTCATTGTTTAATTTTTCTTTTAGATGAGGTATTATTTTTCTTTTTATAAGCTGGATGTTTAAATCAACCCTGCTGATGTTTCGATGCTGGGTTTATTGAAAAATGTTGCCTGCAACCAAACATGAGAACACAGGTTTCATATTTAGACTTGATTTCAACCTTGTGACAAAAACAAAGGCTAAAAACACAACTTGGATTCATGCTCTAAAGACTTGAGACATCAGTCACATCCATAGTCTCACAAGGAATCTTAGACATGCTTAAACAAACTTTGTCATTTTGTATACATAGGTTGTATACAAAACAACATTTCAATGCATACAGCTTTTTGACAGTGCATGAGCAGCTTAGAACAGTGAAATGAACATTTCCATTTATAAAGTGCAGCATTGATCAGAAGAAAATGGTGCAAATGCAGTAGAGCATTGAGTTGAGTTTTATTTAAAGGGATTTGAAAAATTTGCCATGTGGTGCAAATATGATGTTTAAAGGTGTGATGCATTTTATTTATTTTTTTGATCTGGTTGTTATGCTGATTTAGCCAAGAGGGCTTATAGATTGTGGCCATTTAGACAATGACAATCTGTTTGTTAGCTATCGCTCTCTTTTGATCCACGCTCTAATAATGAATTTTTTCTTAAATGACTGAAGCGAATAGGAATGACTTTACTGAATTCTCCTTCTGTCAGAAATTAAAGGCACTTTCTGCAGCTTTTATTTTGAAATTCAACTGTTTCATTTAAGTCTGAATTAGTAACTTGGATCAGAACATCCCTACTGCTAAGCCTTAACCATTTAGTCGGTTCTCTAGTATTTTTTAAATACTAGAAAAAGATTTTGAGCAAGAAAAGGCTTCCAATCAGATCCAAAGGGACATAACAGCTAACTTTAAAGTGGAGATTAATATGGAACGTTATTTTAAAGGCAGTGGTGGTTTTTCAAAATAAAAGCCTGCTTCAAAATATTTTGGCTACTAGTGTATTTATTAACTAAATGATTCCTGCCATTCCTGTTCTAAAACATTTAAGAAGGACCAAGTTTATGGTAGGCTAGATAAGTTGCTGACTTTTCCCTTTCTTTATTAAATGAAAGACTACAGAGACCGTCTGTATAGAAGAGCCCCCATTCTGTCAAAGCCTCCTTAATGTAACCATGTAGGTTTGAGTGATTGCTTTCAGTCTGCCCATTAACACGTACGCATTAACCTCCACACACACACCCATTCACCCAAGCTCTCCCTCCTTTATTCCTTTTTCCTATCATGCATACCCACACCCAAGCCTTGCTCCCCTTCTCCACAACTCCCATTAACCCCCCCATGTCATATCTTATAACAATCCATGTTACACCATGTCCTTCCATTGATCTTGCGTTGATCGTCTCGTGCTCTCTCCATAGCTGGTCCTCCAGGCTCGTAATGTGCCCGATCTGTCAGTGGGGGTTAACTGCTCCTTCGAGGACTACGTGGAGACAGAGGGACGAATTCAGGGTGGACACATCTATTGCTTGTCTCCTTCTGCGAGGGACATCGCCCCCATCACCAGGAACAAAGGTCGGGACTTGAAACGTCGATGAGTGTGAAGTCATGGGGTAGTGAGGTCACCGTAGTAGCCAACGTGTGGTCATAGACGTGTAGAAATGTCTGGGTTATCTGCTTTAATTTGTGGGTCATTGTTTTTAGTGCTGCCGAATAAAAAAAAAAAAAAGTCACAACTGGGTTCAGAATATTTTTTAACCATTCAGTAAGCTAAAATATTAAAGCAGGAAAAGAGACTGCATCACACGTGTGTATGTAATTTTAGCCACTAAGGCTAGTGCTACTAAAACGGTAGTAATCCTTGCCTTAATGCTAAGATTACACAAAGGCTGCAACATTTCGATGTCTAGCATGTTCAAAAGGGTAAAACAAGGCAATGCTTGTTTTGCTTAGATCAGCCTTTCTGTTATCTTTTGAAAGTATTGCTCTCTCTCTGTGTTAATAAATCCCACTCATGTCACTTCAGGTCAGAAAGACAGCTTGATTCTGAATGTCTTCTTTCATTGCTGTGATTCCTCCAACTTTACTTTGAAGGTGTTAATAGTGAAAGAGGCAAACTTTGTGTCCTACCATCAATACTTTACTAACTTCTACACCAAAGAGTGTAGTGGTTGGGCTTTGGTTGGATGCTTTTGATGCAAAGATCAGACAAGTCCATTTCTAACTGGCTGATCACCTGTGAAGTCCAGCTTCAGTCATCAGACCATATCTGAGAGCATCTCTACTGAGGCCTCGTCGTCTAATCACAGTTTTTATTTAGATTTTCCTTTAAAGGTCTTTGGCGCTTTGAATTGACATGAAAAGCAAACACAGCTGATGTTATTTAAATGTATTCGTTACCACCATGCTGTCCTGTCTCCAGCAGAACATGCATCCCATGTTCATGTACTGAAAATAGAAGTGCTTCTTTGAATTCTTAATGTCAGTTTCAGTTTGGCTTTCTTTGTATCTAAATGGCCATATTTTCTTAGTAACTTCTTTTCAAAGCACCAACCGTAGAGTTGTTTACCATCACAGTTAGAAATATCCTATATGTTAGGAAATTATTCACTGGCTTCATGTCCAATTTTGTCACACCCATAGAAGTCTTGCATCATATTCATATTCAAAGGACTAAAGTACCGTCAGAATGCGCTTGGTGACTCTTTAAAGAGACAACTCAGAAGATGTTCAGCCCATTATGTCCCATTATGGCTGCTCCTCATCGCTGGCATGCAAATGCTGATTGAGAGTGCTATTTATAAAGTCGCCCTACTGTGGAGAAATGGGAAGTGTGTTGCTATGCTACTGTGTCTGTGTATTATTCTTTAAGGTCAAACATCAGAAATGTAAAAGTGATGTACTGGATCAGTTCTGAAATTGTATAAAAATAATTTTTACATTTAATCTCGCATAATTATGTGACTGTTTTAGTGATTAAAGTTAAGACTTACTGGAACTTGAAAGGAATATTAAAGATGGTGAGCAAGTTCTGATATATTCTCTTTTGAATGCCATGCAGGGGACAAGCGGGTGGTGAAGCTCTACCTTAAGTCCAAGGAGACGGGCAAAAAGTTTGCCAGCGTTGACTTTGTCTTCTACAACTGCAGTGTCCACCAATCGTAAGTGAGAATGTTGGAATAGTTTTAACAAATAACATAGATGATGCTCACTTTCATTTGATTTAATGTAACTGCTTCAGTTCAGTTTTCAAGTGGAAGGATGTTTCATGTATAAAAAATGTAAAGAAAATTCATTGCAAAAACAAAAAAGCTAAAGTTCAGTCAGTTTAGATGAAATAGATCAGAAGGGAAATAATCTGTCCTCCTCCCATTCACTTTGATCATCTTCCCTGTCCCTGTTGAAGAAAAGCTTCCCCCACAGCATGATGCTGCCACCACCATGGGGGTGGAGTGATGTGCATTATTTGCTTCCAGATGCATGACATTTAGCATATAAGCCATTTACTAGATTACTCCTTTTTACATACTGGGTGTGTTCCCTCATGACCTGTGGCAAATCTCTGATAGAATAATTCAGGATTTTATTTACTAATCAGGTCATCTTGAAAGGTTTCCTACGTAGTTTGAAAAAGTGTTAAAAGAGAAAATAAGACGTGAAAACGTGTATATATTATCAGTCTTCACTCTTTTCGTCATTCCTTTTTATTGGTCATTTGTTACTTTCTTGCTTGTATCCTCGTTTCCTTCCTCGTATCCTCTTCCCTTCTTTCACTGTATCCATTTTCCCTTCCTTATCTCCTACCTACCTCTCTCACTCTAGTTTTTCCTTTCTTTCTCTCCCTCCTTTGGTCCTCTCTAATTATTTTGTATCCATTTGTAATAAATTAAAGTATTCCCTATTTTAATGTGGGCGCAATATAAAGTAAAGTCAGCAAAAGTTTAAGAATTTAGAAGCATTTGAAAGACAGTATTTGTTTTCTAACATTTCAGTCACCCTTGTTTGTCCTTCTGTCCTTATTAAGGTTAGTGGCTGTAAGAGGAAAAAATAGATGCATTTAGTTTTTTCTCCTACTTCTTCTGAGATGTTTCTTTCTGCAGTCTCCCTATGGGCTTTCTCATGTCACACTTCATGAAACACATACATGAACACTCACACACACTAAAACGTTCTTTGTTTTTGTACATCTAGTGAGGACCATTCCATTGATTTTCCATTCCTTTGTATCCCTTTCTAAGCCCTAACCTTTACAGTTAACTTAAACCAAACAATAACTAGTGACTATCTATCGTTAACCTAAACTCAAGTAAGACCTTCGTCTAAAACCTAACTGGTAACAAAAGAATGTTAGGACCAGGAAAATGTCCAGTGGTCCTCAGTTCCATAGGAGAAATCAGAGAAATGGTCCTCACTCTGATGCCAAAACAGAAACACACACTCACATAAATCTATTCCACCTTTTTAACCTCCACCAGAGGCTAGAGTTACATTCAAAGTGAAAAATCAAATGTGCCGTACATGACAAACATTTGGGTTTCAAGATGGAAACCAAACGCTTTTTATCATAAGCCACACCGCACTGTAATGATTCATTGATGATTTATTCATTACACTGTGGTCGGTTGTAATTCCTCCCTGTAACACAATCTAACCTCATTTTTTACCTTAGAAAAATGCATTTAGCTTTTTAAAGCTTGCAATTACATTACAAATGTAATTGCTTCAACGCTCATTACTTGTTAATAAAACGTTGTTTTTAAATAAACCTTTGCTTGTTTACACCCCCTCATTGAAGATCTACCATACAGCTGCTCCCCTGCTTTAGCTCTTAGTTGACCATGATGCACCCCGTGGTAAACGAATCCTCTAGCTCTTCGACCCCACCCCACACGATACCATCCCTCCCGTCGATCTGTGGCTCATCCACGGTAGGCAGAAACGTCTGCTGGGGTATTAGCCTTGGGGCAGCAGATGGCTCAGAGGCCCCTCGGGTGCAGGCAGGGCTCCGCTCTGGCTTCCCCTGGATGCTGGATGAGCCTCCTTCGAGGATTGCCAACAAACACACAGCGTCATAGAAACAAGCATGCACAGCCACACCTTTCCCCACTGTGTCACTTAACCGACGCTGAAAGTCTTAGACACCTAATCTGTTATTGTGACCTTTAACCCATTCGCCCCACTTCCCTGCTCTTGCAGACAAATCCTTTGCCTCAGAAAGATGATTAGCTCAGCTGGTTAAGGGTGTGGTGGTTTACGGTGTCGGATCATAGTTAAATTATCTCCCATGAGGACCTCAGTCCGTTTGCTCCATCTAGAGCAGCTCTCGCTATGTTTGTTTATGCTCAACGGTTTCAAATAAAAAGCACATAAAGAAATCCAGTTGCACTGCATGTTTTGCTGACGTGCCTTAAATTCTCTGTAACAACAAAGAAATAAAGGAAAAAAAATGCAGCAATGAGAGCTGTCCATTAGAAGATATTCCCCCAATGAACTCTGATAATATCCACTCCCTGCACTGATCTAATACAACCTCTTAGTGATGTAATGGAGGCATTTAATGAAGTTACTGATCGGTCACGTCGCATCTTCTCCAATAACTCTGCTGGTGAAGTGAGATGTAGAGATAAGAATCCCAGTTGGAGCTGATAGTCTGTCCTGCGTACATTCAGAGGCCTTCCAGGTGTGGACTCCTATCAGATCAGAATGGTAAAGTCATTGACGCAATGCCCGCTCAGCCACATGCTCCACCTTGTTTTGAGAACCCCATGTTGTTCCTAACTGCGCTCGGCTTACACTTAAATTAATTATACTAAAATACTCTGCATGAAAGGATTTAAAATGGTCTTTATAACTGAAAAAATTGTCAAAATGTAATCAGTCAATAGGAGAGGCTCATAATTTATCAGCCTTTAGGGATAATATGAGGTTAATAATGCAGAAATGTTAACCATAAGTGCTTAACATCATCTAATTGCTTTTATTGAACCAGAAAAGCAAAAGTTATTCCTACTGCTACTAAAATAGTGGGAATGTCACTACAATGTCACTATTTGGCATTGCAGTTGCGCTTATTTGTATTATATGGAAATAATGAATCTGTTTGCTGCTGTTGTGATGATTCTAGAGTAAAGGTTTTTCTTTTGTTGGTCACTTATTTCAGAAAGGAAAACATGAATATACAGATTCATGATGCATATTAAATTATTTCAAGCTTGTATTTATTGTGATTTAATGATTATGTCTTATGCATAATTAAAACCTCGAATTAAGTGTTTCAGAAGTCCAATCGGCTAATTTTGTTGAAATCCCTGCCAAGGTTTCCTGAGCCTTGTGTCTCGGTGTGAGTCAGAAGGCTACAGAGATACAGGGAAGGCTGCTGACTACATAGGAGTCCAGAAAACATTGAGATCCTCCATAAACACGGCTAAGCCATAAAGGAGTTGGTTGTTCAGGGGGCTGTTTCAAATCATTATCATTATCGACCTGTAGCCTATACGGAATCTATGAAATCAAAAAGAATAAGAGAAACACCAGCCCTAACAAAGCAGGCGAAAGGGAGGCAGCTATGACATCAACCTGAACTTCCATTACACCTCCCTCTGTAGAACCACTGGCTTATCGCCTCCATGCCACGGCGCATTGTTGCAGTAATTGGAGCAAAATGAGGCCTGACAGGATATTAAGTTAGTCTAAATGAACATAGATTTCAGAGGCCTGGCAGATCTTTTTAAATCTTAGTTGATGTTATAATTACCTAAGACATTAAATAGTTGGTTTTCATTATCAGTAATACACCGGTATATTTTAAGCCAAGAAATACAGACCTGTAATATTTCACACTATAGATAATAAATGTATATCACGAATTTTACCTTTAAAAAGTAGTGATGAAATATATAAAACTTTTTTCATTGTGATGTTTCAGATGTTACTATATGTTTGTAATACTGTTAAAGCTTATGTTTTGGAGGCCATGTCTCGGTGAGCTGTCAGAAATATATTAAGCTATTAGTTTAAGTAGTCAGGTTATCTACTTAGGTAGCGATCCTGTAGGCAACTTCTTTACAGACACCCCACCTGAAGCCTGCCATATGTAGTTTTAAAAAAGGTGTCGGATTAATAAGAGTAAAACGTGGAACTAGATTCATTTCTCAACCAGAAATAAATCCCAACCACCAATCTTTTTAGATATCTCAGTGGATGGATGTTGTTGCACAGCTTTTCGAGCACTTGCTCTTGCTTCACATAAAAGGACTTTAAATAAACAGATTCAAATATGTTAACAGCTTGCCATAGTTTGACACTGAAAAGAAGTTATCCTCTGCCCATTGTCCCTGTTTTTTGCGGTGCATTTTTCCTCATACGCAATCCCCCTCCTCCTTATTTACTCAACAGATTACATCTAGGCCCCGTTGCCAGAAAAAAAAAAAGCCATAAATTTGCATACTTGTATTAATCTAATTAGAATCCCAAGAGCGTAAGTCTAAGGGTTGCTGAGATTGAAACAGAAAATCACCCACGGCCATGATTACTGCTTAATTAAATATTTCCATATGCTTTCTTTTTTTTCTAACTCTACATCTCTGTGTTTAATAAAGACGTAGATACTGGAAATAGTTTAAAACTTAAGTGTAAGGATGAGGCCATATGGAGTGCCTATTCATGCTGTGGTCAGTTTGATTTGAAGCGGATCATTTCTCATTCTGTGTGATTTAGCGTCCTCCTAGACTCCAACTCCCTTTGGTACAAAGGTATTAGAAAAGATGAGCTGAAAAGGCTATGAGAACTATTAATTTTCATCCAAGCTCAACTCATACATGCAATAATGCCATTTGGTGCAGGAATATCAGGTCCCTTTTTTTCTTACCTTTGTCAAATAATGCAATTGATAGACAGTTCCTTAGGAGAATTAAATAATTCAACCCCTTGCCTTTGAAATGAAAAGTATCCAATAAATAAGTCATTTTGCCATATGCTGAAGAGTCAAGTGTGTCTGACTGGAAGGACAGTTTGCATTTTGCCTTCCAAACTGACCAAGCAGACACCTGAGCAGAGAATCCGTCTATTGTGTTTGGCCTTGAAGAAACGATGCTAGTATGTCTCAATTAGCATCTGAATATGAAAAGCTTAAATTAACATTATGAGCGTGGGCACAAAGGGAGCATGTCTCCAGCTGCTCAAAGCCTCAGACTGGCTGCAGGCAATGGGAAAGGACATGAAGAGGCAATAAGGCTATGCTGTGGGGGTCTGAAAAATGGAACCCGCCCTTGATAAAAGGTGTCGCATTCACTCCAATGGAGCTGGGAGGGCTTTTTCTCTGATGAGGGCTGCACCATGGCTGTAATAGAGACTTTGAAATGCGACGGCAATGCGTGACAAGGAGCCCCGCAATCGACGAGTGGGCTGTGGGGGGTTGCTGCCGCCGGGCTTCCGATTGGACTCTTAATGGAACGGTCTTTTATTTCAGAAGTCATTCTTCTAAAAGTGAAAAGCAACACAGGCAGTCACCTGCTGGTATTTTTCTCATTATTTTAAACTCACCGCTACACTAACAAGCTTGATTTGACATGAATAAAAGATGTAAGTCGGATGAAAATGGTTGTTATCAGGCTAATGCTGCAGATGTGATGACTGATGTGGGCCGCTAACTGTACTTTGTATTGTTCGCTGTTTGATTTGAGTCACCTGCTGTTAAGTTGGTGTTGAAGTGTGTTTTGATGAACGCTGATCCCCCTGAGCCAGGCTCCTTTACATTCAGAGTTGTGATTGTTTGTGTTAACAAGCATCACAATGAGCCCAGCTAACTTGGATGTTTTGCTGATTAGTTTTGCTCCAGTATTATCTATAGGTGTAACACTGCATGCTGCTCAAAAGCAGTGTTGCCAACTTCAACGAACAGATTACGCTTTGCATGGCCTCGTTAATGAGCTGCAATGGATATGAAACGCGTCAAATTCGCATTTTCTTTTGTTTTTCTTTATTTTCTTTTTACTTTTTAAGAGTTTGCCCAAAATTTGCATCACATTTTTATTGCAAGTAAGTAGAAAAAATTCACTTTTGGATCATTTAAAAAAAAAGAATGTGTAACAAGTGTGTTATAATGAAAATTGCGGTAAGTGCTTAAGGTAAATAAACTTGGCTACCGTGGTAATCACTATATTTTCAGACTTTTCATACTTTCTTTAAAAAAACGACTATTGACAAGTTTCAAGATGTTTTCTATTGTTAATGAAACCTCTTGGACTCTCTTGGAAGGGAGTGTCCACATGTGTCTCCCCAGCTGCAGCAGGACCAGGAGATTTCAATGCCATTTTCATCCAGAATCCAAATGAACGGTTTAAAGTAACTGCGTTCATTGTGCAGTGTAAATGTAAATCTGCATTCGTCTTAAATAACTAAAACCCTAATGATACCAAAACGGCATATTTAAACCAATCAGAGCTCGTTGTGGTTTAAGCTGATTTGCTACATCATCGCTGTGAAAAGTAGTACTGCTTTTCTATTGGTACTGATCTTGTTTGTTGTATGGTGAAACTGTCCATCTTTCGTATTGTCCATTATATTTACCTCCAAATGGACACTCAGCTACGTGATCATGTCATTTAACTTTATTTTTTTTAGGAAGAAGAGCCAATAGCTGTATAACAATGGATAACAAGCCCTGGGGCAAATTTTCCATTGTCGAAAAATAATGTGGTGTTTGATTTTGGTTGGAACATCCCTGCTAATGTTCCCATTTGTTTCTGTATTGACCAGCCATCTACTGTTTCTCAACTGGACCAAAATCCCAGCTCTGCTCTCTAAATCTGAGCACTGCATGCTAACCCGGCGTAGCCTAATCGCTTTCCCTCCATTTGTTGGCAACATTGACAAATCTCCTCTTTGCTCTTGTGTGGTATTAAGAGGCCTGTTATTTCCTTAGCTGCACATCTTTTATTCTAAATGGACAGCTTCTGTCAGCACAATGCTAAATCGGTCAATTAAAGCGGCAGTGGGATTGAATTAAGCTCCAGCCTCTGATCTTGTTCAAAAGGAGGGGGTTTCTGGGCTGGAAATGATTACTTAAAGTGTGCACCTAACAAACGAGCGGCCCTAATTGATCCAAATGAATCCACGTCAGGGTTTGATGGATTCATACGTGGGTTCCATCTCAAAGCTCAAGAGTTAAAGCCCTCATTTTTCATGCGGATAAGGAAAAGGAAAGCTGGCATTTTACACAGGGTTAAAACACACTGGAGAGCTTGTCAGGAGGGTGAGTGTGCTTTTTTCACCCCAGACAGATCCTCACAAATTTACACTTGGCAGATATGGTGGAATAGAAAGCAACCTGCTTACTATGTTATCTTTATTAAATGCACTATTTCACTGTTAGCCCAATAAAGCATGTGCTGACACAAATCCCTAGCTAAATAAAGCACAGAGATGAAATGGTAAAATTGAAGAGAGAGCCTTGCCCTTTAGTATGCTTTCCATTAACATGAAGCAGTTTTATTTGCTAACAAGTCATTATTTTATTAGCTGCAGACTAAGAATATATCTCTGCTCATTTGATATACTGCATACATAAACCTCTGTGACTCTATTGTACAAGTTTTCTTTAGATATGAGAGAGCACATATAGATCCATAATCATCGTCTGATATCCTAGATTATGTTTCATCTCTCTCCCACGAGAAAGTCCCCCCTCTCCTCTCTCTCACGATACCTGGCATATACACCCCTGTCAGGGAAATCCACCTGCTTTTTGATGTCCTCTCTTTTCGCCTCTCCCCTTTCTTTCGTCTTTCTCTTTCTGTCGGTCTATCGGCACCTGGCCTCTGCCAAAGTAGGGGAATTAAAAACGGTGGAGGGCTCTTAGCCCCACGGATGAAAGGGAGCTTTAGAGAAAGAACGAGGGGGACAAAGCAAATGGATGTGAGCAAATAGAGAAGTGGAGATGGGGAAAGATAAGGGAAGGTTCACAGCTTAGTGGATAGAAATTGTAACAGGAGAGCAACAATATGCAGAGTCGGGTGGTGAAGGCAAAGGGAAAATCAAGCAAGCTGGAAGTGATGAAGGGAAGCGATGAGAGGGAAGTTAACGCAGGTTTAAGGTTTAGAAATGGATGGGAAAAGAGAACATTTCACGGGTTGGTCGAAAGCAGAGAAAAAGACCTTGATAATCCCTTATTTTTGCCACCTGCCATATTTCTTTAAAGATGGACAGATATCTTTGAACAAAAAAAAAATACAAAAACACCTTGAAAAGATTTATCAGTATGTTGTGAGCTGTCATAAAAAAGTAGCGCACTTTGCTATCTGCATCCATCCATGATCTCCTTTAATCTTTGTTACAGCTGCCTATCCTGTGTGAATGGCTCCTTCCCATGCCATTGGTGCAAGTACCGCCACATGTGCACCCAGAATGCCTATGATTGCTCTTTCCAGGAAGGACGTGTCAACCATTCTGAGGTAAGAAGCCTAAAAATACTTGACTAAAGTGCCATTTATTCCAAATTCTGTTCACAATCAATGCACATAACTGCAGTTATAGCAACGTGAGCTCGGATAGTTCATCTGCACACGTCTCCCTCATCCTGTGTGCCTCGGGGTTTCCTCCCATCATCCTGCTGGGTGTCAGCTGTCTGTACGTGTAATATTGGCTTTTGGCACAGTGACAAAAGCTTGTGTACTGTGCAGCAATAATTCTGTCGTGGCCCATAAGGCCGTAAACAGGTTGGGATGAATGACTTTCTGTTGGAAATACCGCCTTGTTCTTACAAAGCCAAATGCTGCATTAGCATAAAAGCTAATATTAATCGTGCCAAGTGGCAGCGACTGCAGGCGTCATGTAAGGCATAGCAAGCATTTGTAAAGTGCTGTATTACATGCAGGGCTGGACACCAACCTGCATAGACGGGTGCAAAGTTTTCCAACATCAACCAGTGTTATAGCATCATTAAATTCTAAACTCCCCAGTGTCTGACGGTCACACCTGAGCTTTATCAGTCTTTGGCCTTAAACACACAAAACGTTATTCATCCCTGACTCTTTCTGCTTTTGGTCCAGCTCTCTGTTATCTACCGGCAGATTAAAGCTCCATCACTTGTCAAGCCAGGCCCAATAACTGGCCTTTATTAATTGCTCAGCCTTATAACTTATTGCTTTCTTCTTTATCTCATCTCTCAACTGAAGCTGTTGCTGAATCCTAAACACAGGCTTGCTAAAACACAGCCTCTGTGCCCAGTGCGAATGGGACACGGCCAAGACTTCATGGTTCATAGGGTTGAAGCTATTGGATTCCGGCCCCCGTTTGGAAGGCCAGAGGAGTGCACTGGTTAGAGCGTTGCGAAGCGGCTAAGGCCAGAGCAGAAGCACTGGCATAAACTCAGGCTTCCTGCATAGCCTCGAAGATTTCATTTCACCATTAGGAGATGAAAGGGAGAAATTAGGAATTTCTTTTTTATAAATAGAGCTTCACAAGTGTGATCATTAGAGCATCTCAGTTAGTTTTAGATCTAGTTGCTAGAGATCTTCTACCATTAGTCATCTGTTTGTGTTAATCCAATTTTTTTATGAAGTTAATCCAATTTTTTTATGTCTTTAAGCATCTGTCTTTAAGAGCTGCAGGAAGCATGGAATGCTGCTGATAGAAAACAGACTTAGAGGGAGGCAACGTACGGGTCTCTATTTAGAGCTACTTTTAGGGGTTTATTTTACGTTCATTTAATAATAATACACAGCATATTGGAATATTTTTGGTAATACCCTTAAAGTAAAAAGTTTTTTATCTTAACATCTTAAATTCTGCTCCATGTTTTCAGGATTGATTGTGAATGATGTCACTTTTACTGTTTATCTCTTGGAGGTTACTGAAATGACTTGCTGACATTTAGAATAGTTTTTGCACCACTGTCTTTTTAAATTCTCTTTTTTATGATTTGAGACATGTAAACAAACCTGAAAGGTCATGGTTTATGTATAAGAGACATGTGCTGTTATTTCTTTTCAGCTTCTTTGTAAAAGACACACTTTGTCTATTCTTGTCTTGGTTTTTTATTTAAATATAATGAATCAACCAGGATGTTGTTTCTAATCTATGGGGGAGTGTTGGCCTAGTGGGTTAGAGCAGTGCGCTTGTGCTCTGAGAAGGTGTAAGACCCGAGTTTGATCCCCACAGCCTCCACTCTGGGTCCCTGAGCAAGACCCTTTAATCCCACACTGCTAAATATGAACAAAAAACACACTTTTTGTTTATAATCCTGCTAAATATGAAAATGATAATCAACCTGTTCAGCCTTCTAGCTGGTAGGGCTGAATAATCTGGAGCTTTAGCCTTCCTGTTATTCTCTAAAGCTTCAATCTCTTTCTTACCAAGAAAAAACCCCAGAGACATCAGTGGGTCACATGCTTTTTAAAGGACACATCTTTGTTTTCTGCTACCTTATTTTAATGTCTTAAAACAGCTAGATTATGTTGTCTTCAGTCGTTAACAGCTTGTATACAGCAGGATGTTAATGTGACCTATATGTGATATTTATGGAGGCATAAAAAAAGAAAATGTATATTCTTAATGAAAGCTAAGTTCAGAACTTGAATCTTGAAATCCTGCATGCCTAAAAGTATCTGACTGCATCATTTCAAGAATAAATACCTTTTTAGTTAATCACGCTACACAAATTACAGATTATCTTGGTTGTTCATTTAAATCTCACAGTATATGGCATTCATTTTTCAAATGGCAAAAGAATAAACACAAAGGGCTTTGTGTCAATTGAGATGAGACTAATAAAAGTAGAGGATGATGAAGATATTAGGGGGGAAGATGACGGCAGTAGTGGACCGAGCAGCTGATGATGGCATTTAGAGGCAGAGACCCGTTTCCACATCTCGTCTACCTGAGAAACCAGCGACCACATGCTCCCACTGAGACTGCATCACACATCTGCTATGCTTTGTGTCTTTCATGCACAAGATTGTCAACAATCGTACAGTAACCTGCATATACCCACACACATACACACACACAGTCATTTATCATCCTTCTCTTAGCTGCCACATCCATTAGTTGCGCCCTCAGTGCCCCAACGAGAAATGCTATTCCTGAAGGCTTGGCTTATCCTCTTTCTCCTGCTGCTCCTCTCCAGGGCAGCGCTCGCCTCTCCCCACCTCATCCTTCACCACTTTGATGCTCAGTCACCTCATCTTTTTCTCATTCTTCTTCCTCTCTACTGTTCTGTTCTATTTTTTTTATTTGTATTGTTAAGGTATGGATAAATACAACAGAAAGTGCTGTTTGCTCCTTAGCGGTTTTCGTCGTTTTTCTCTCCTGTTAGCAACTCTTAGAGTTAAAGCAGAAGGTTTTATATTGATGCTCGCATAGAGGTGAGTCTAACATTAATTTACTTTGAGTTCAGTTTAAAGTCAAAGTCTCTGATTATGTAGATTCTTTACACACAAAGGAATATATTTCAAGTGTAGTTCTGTAAATATTTAATAATTATTGCTTACAGCTAATAAAAGAGACATCAAAAAATGTTATATAATGATGGGATGTGGGCCTACAGGTGTGTCCATGTTCCGTCTCACTTTGTCAGAGCTATTTCTAATGAATAATGGCGTCAGAGCTGCAATGCTATGAAGGTTTTCGGTCTGTGGCTGTGCTGAGGCCCTTTTCGGTTCAATATCAGCCTTCAGCGCTTGTGCATAAGGTGCCATGGTGTTTCTCATCCTGACTCGACTCCATAGATGGATCGCAGCAGTTTGGTGGCCAGTTAAGCTCTGAGATACCGTGGTCTTTACATAAGGAATGGGGACTTTTAGCAGCTGCTCATTTCTGCTAGTTTAGATTATTTATCTATAGATTATTATTTGTTTTTGCTCAAAAGCAACCTAGTACAAGTGATTATGGATTTTGAAGCCCCAGAAATGTCTGTGGGATGTGTATTATGGCAAGATTAGCTGCAGTAAAAAAAAAAAAAAAAAGAAATATATATATATATATATATATATATATATATATATATATATATATATATATATATATATATATATATATATATTGTGCCCTTTATTAGCACATTGTTTTCCCTCCACTTTACTTTTACATCAATCCTTGCATATAAAGCTGTCTAGCTTCTTTAGCAATGAACTAGCATACATACCTATTGGAGGGTTTTCAAAAACTATCAGGCATTTTTTCTTATCAAAAATATATTTTTATTTTGCCTAATATTCATTTGTTTAAAGAAACTAACTGTGAAAGCAAATCCAAAGTCATTTTCAGCACCTCAAACTGCTACACAGAACCGAAAGGCTTCAGAAGGATAAATAAAACAACAAAGTGACTTTGTTAAGGACGGACAATGACATCGAGCAGACTGTTTTTATTCAGTATCGCAGCCTTAACATGAACCATAATCATCAAATGAACACCAAAGAACTCGAGATATTTGTATGCATTAAATTATTCTATACAAGATATGAATTTTTCCTTTTTTTCCATTGAACTACTGAGATGGCCTTGTATATGTGAACATTTGATTATGACTTTAGATGATCTTTTATCCAGCTTCATCCTGAATACAAACAGCTCTCCTGATGGCACATATTTCCGCTCAGACCTTTACCGCCCTCACCTGCAGATGAGAGCATTAGATTGGGCTCATTGTCAGACGGTGATCAAAGACCTGATAGAGCGTTCACCGAGGGGTTGAGTGGTGGATGCTCCTCCCCTATGACTCTGACTGGTGTTGGACCGACTAGACAGTACTGTTAAGATGAAAGGATGGAGCTAGCAAATGAATTATAAATGTAGGATGTTCTCCTTTTTTTCAACCCAGCCTTTATTATTCTGCTGTGCTTGTATTGTGTTTTTTTTTTTTTCAAGATCTACAGCTCAATGTAATGCAGAATTTTAGTGTAGTAAATATTAGAAATTCAAAAGGTAGCATGTCCAAAATCTTTTTGTTGTTGCTTTTTTTTAGCCTTAATTCACCCTTTTTTTCCCTCTTGAATGCTTTTGCAAAATTGGTAATTACTTATTTCATTTGCATTCCCGCAGTAATAACGATAAAAAGGTTTATTTATGTTTTTCTGAACAGAACGTGTCAAAAGACAGGCGGAAACAGTAGGAAAGTCATGGACTGATAGAGTAAGCGGGGAGAAAATATGTATGAGTGACATTTCTAAATCAAATATGCATGAATCAACAAAGCCTCCAAATGGCACAACAAACAAATTCTTGAATTAACGAGCGACGAGGTGGAAAATTGCAAGAGTGGAATTAAAGTGACTTTATCATAGAAACAAAAAAAAAAAAAAAAAGCTGAAGGGAGAATTAAGGAAGAGAATAAAGGACTCCACTTGTTGATTTCTTTCTTTTCTCCTATTTTTCTTCGCTTTGCTTTCTGTCTTTCATTGTTCCTTGATTGCCATCTCTTGCTCAACTTTTTCCTCCTCTCTCCGACCCT